AAACCGACCCCAAATCCCCGGGGACCCCAAATCCCAAATCCCGACCCCAAATCCCTGAGGGGACCCCGAAACCGACCCCAAATCCCCGGGGACCCGAAATCCCTGAGGGGACCCCGAAACCGACCCCAAATCCCCGGGGACCCCAAATCCCAAATCACGACCCCAAATCCCTGAGGGGACCACAAATCCAACCCCAAATCCCTGGGGACCCCAAATCCCGAGGTGACCCCGAACCCCCAAATCCCCGGGGACTCCCAAACCGACCCCAAATCCCTGAGGGGACCCCGAAACCCCCCCCAAATCCCCGGGGACCCGAAATCCCTGAGGGGACCCCGAAACCGACCCCAAATCCCCGGGGACCCCAAAACTGAACCCAAATCCAACCCCAAACCCCGAGGTGAACCCAAAACCGCCCCAAATCCCTGGGGACCCCGAAATCCCACTGGGGGGGAACCCTGAATCCCCGAATTCTATTGGGAGAGACCCCAAACCCCACCCTGGGCGCCCCAAAACCCACACCGGGCGCCCCAAATCTCATCCTGGGCACCCCAAATCCCATTCTGGGCACCCCAAATCCCATCCTGGGCACCCCAAAACCCATCCTGGGCACCTCAAATCCCACCTGGGCACCCCAAATCCCATCCTGGACACCCCAAAACCCATCCTGGGCACCCCAAATCCCATCCTGGGCACCCCAAAACCCATCCTGGGCACCACAAATCCCATCCTGGGCACCCCAAAACGCATCCTGGGCACCCCAAATCCCACCCTGGGCACCACAAACCCCACCCTGGGCACCCCAAATCCCACCCTGGGCACCACAAACCCCACCCTGGGCACCCCAAATCCCATCCTGGGCACCCCAAAACCCATCCTGGGCACCCCAAATCCCATCCTGGGCACCCCAAAACCCATCCTGGGCACCCCAAATCCCACCCTGGGCACCCCAAAACCCATTCTGGGCACCCCAAACCCCACCCTGGGCACCCCAAATCCCATCCTGGGCACCCCAAACCCCACCCTGGGCACCACAAACCCCACCCTGGGCACCCCAAATCCCATCCTGGGCACCCCAAATCCCACACCGGGCACCCCAAACCCCATCTTGGGCACCCCAAAACCCACCCTGGGCACCCCAAAACCCGGGGTGGCACCTGAGGCTCACCTGGGTCCCCTTTTGGGGGTCCCCCCCTGTCCTCGCCCCGCAGCCACCTGGAGCAGGATCACCTGTACATGGCCTACGCCGGGATCATGGCCAAGGTGAGCACCCCAAAACCCAGCACGGGCACCCCAAAACCGGGGCACCCCAAAACCCAGCATGGGCACCCCAAAACCCAGCACGAACACCCCAAAACCCAGCACGGGGCCCCAAAACCCAGCAGGAGCACCCCAAAACCGGGGCACCCCAAAACCCAGCATGGGACCCCAAAACCCAGCATGGGACCCCAAAACCGGGGCACCCCAAAACCCAGCACGGGACCCCAAAACCCAGCATGGGCACCCCAAAACTCAGCATGGGCACCCCAAAACCCCAACACCGGGCACCCCAAAACCCAGCACGGGCACCCCAAAACTCCAGCACGGGACCCCAAAACCCAGCACGGGCACCCCAAAACCCAGCATGGGCACCCCAAAACCGGGGCACCCCAAAACCGGGACTCCCCAAGTGCTGAGGGCTTGGGGGTCCCCGAGGTCATTTTGGGGGTGCAGCGGCCGAGATTGGGGTGGGGTCCCCAGGGATTTTGGGGTGGGTCACAGGGATTTTGGGGGGCCCCAGGGATTTTGGGGCGGGGGTCACAGGGATTTTGGGGGGGGTCACAGGGATTTGGGGCGGGTCACAGGGATTTTGGGGGGGTCCCCAGGGATTTTGGGTGCATTATCAGGGATTTTGGGGTGTTTCAGGGAT